CTTGGTACTGAGGTAGATGGGGTTGTTAGGTATTTATAAGTAATTTGCAATGAAAGCTTGGTACTGAGGTAGATGGGGTTGTTAGGTATTTATAAGGAGAGAATACTATAGCCAAAACCCCAAAGAACTAGACATAATCCCAAGAAAATCGCATTTCTGAATCTGTATAAATATAACCATTGTAGTACCCATCAGTCGACTAACAGGAAGCATCAGTCGAGTGATGAGCTGAACGTTGTATACGATATCCAGCTCATCAGTCGACTGATGATCATTTCAGTCAACTGACGATCTCGTCAGTCGACTGGTCAGTCGACCAAAACAGAACATAGAGAAAAATGATGATTCCAGGTACTTTTATCAGTCGACACATCGGTTGACTGACTTCATCAGTCATTGGTCAGTCGACTGATAACATGTTATCAGCCTGAATCGATTTTAAAATTAAATTTCAATGCTCTATAAAAAATAGTAAATAAATTCCAAAAAATATGAAACTTTGTAAACAGTTTATAAACATTTTGACAAACTTGTTTGAAAAGGAATTTTGCAAAAATGTCCTCGTATTTGTGAAAATCATCAATTTAGCAAAAGTGTCAAAATATGAGTTTTGAAAATATGCAAGTGTGTTATCCTATGAGCTTCAAATGTAATCAATAAACTTCTTGCCTATATTCTAGCACTAGAGAGAAAATAAAAGTAGCAAATATCTCTCACATAGAAATATATTTCTTGGGTCTTGATATTACTTTTGAGTTGATAAAGCTTCTTATTGCATATGTTGTTCTTAATAAACATTGCTTCATTACTTTGCCTCCACCTCCTTCAGATATCGTCGTTGTAGCTCATATTCCATCCAATCCTCCATATATGATGCTAATGAATTATAATCTATAATATAGCTCAATACACAATTAGCACCAATAATGGTGTTTGTAAATCATCATCAAAATAAAGGACCTAACACTTTCATGGCAAGCTCCCACTTGCTCACATCTTCATATTGACAAGCTTCATCATAGCTTTTAGGCTCCCCTCCATCTGTCAGCAACATCTAATTCATGTAACTGTTGTTAGGAACAAGAGGACAAGAAGATCTTCTTAATATCGGAGCTGGTGCGTCGTGCTCTTGCGCACCGTTCTGTCCAACATGCTCTTATGGCTAAGGACCTTCTACATTAGGTTCTTCCGAGAGGTTACTCGAGACATTATCTATATCTACAAATGTTGACTCGCTCTCCTTTGAGTCACTGACATCTGTCTTGTGCATGTCCTTGTACATCAAATTCTCGTTGAATATCACATCTCTGCTGCAGTTCACTTTCTTATTTTTGTTATCCCAAATACAATAGCTGAACTCATCTTCACCATAGCTAATGAAAATGCATTTTTAGACTTGGGATCAAACTTATTCCTGCCTTGATCACTAATATGCACATAAGCTACACAACCGAAAACTTTAAGATGTGAGAATTTTACCTCCTTTCCACACCATACCTCTTCTGGTATTCTATGCTCCAATAGAACCGATAGACATTGATTGATCAAGTAATCTACTGTGTTGACTGCTTCTACCCAGAACTACTTTGGTAGACTAACTGCTTCTGAATGCTTCTGGCTCTCTATGTCAATGTTCTATTCATGCACTCAGCTACACCATTTTGCTAAGGCATGCCAAGCACAATTCTCTCCATTCTTATCTTGTGTTCATAGCAAAACTTTTTGAATCCGGTGTCTTCATACTCACCGTCATTGTCAGTCTTGAGCTTCTTTATTCTTAGGTCGGTCTCATTCTCGACCATGGCTTTCCATCTCCTAAAAGCCTCAAATACTTCTGACTTATGCTTCAGAAAGTAGACCCACACTTTCTGAGAGTGATCGTCGATAAAAGTCATAAAGTAGTGTTTACCACCAATGAACGTGGTGGTTGTTGGTCCCCAAACATCTGAGTGAAAGAGCTCTAGCTTCTCCTTCCTAGGGGGTCTGTCACTTGTCTGAAAGCTGATTCTTTTCTGCTTTTCAAATATACATTCTTCACACATATCAATCTTAACTGATTGTAAACCTGAGAGTTTTTCCTTTGTGTGCATAATCGTCATTCTATTTTCACTCATATGACCGAGTCTCTGGTGCCACAGACTTTAAAGTCTCATTGTCTACTGTAACTGAGATCAAACAAGGTGCACCTACTGTCATATACATTGTACCAATCTTCCTACCTCGGGTAATTGTCATTGCGCCTTTTAAAATCCTATAATCATTATCATGAAAAGTCATAGTGTAGCCTTCACTAACCAACTGGCTTACGGATATTAAGTTCTTTCTCAAGTTGGAAATATGTCTGACATCCTTCGGCTTCTATGCTGACCTATTTAACTTAATCTTTACTACACCTTTGCTAATAATGACACATGGTTGATCATCATCAAAGTATACATTTTCAAGGTTTCCGGGGATATACTTCTCGAGGAATTCTTTCTGAGAAGTAGCATGAAATGATGCTCCAGAGTCCAACACTCAAGACTCCTCCTTGCTCTCCAAAGAGCATATCAATGCATCATCTCCTTCTGAGGTGGATGTAATATTTGTATCTGCCTTTGCCTCCCACTTCTTATGTGCACTCTTGCACTGATTCTTGTAGTGCCCGGTTTTCCCACACTTCCAACACTCGATAGCCTTCGAGCTGTTGGGATTCCTGGATTTGGACCTTCTGCCCTCTGGTTGAATTTTTACCTCTTGACTCTGTATGCAATACTAAAGAGGTTATAGCTTTACCCAACTCTCTCCGTCGGATCTCCTCACTGAGAACCAGATCACGAACGTCATCGAACTTTAACTTATTGCTTCCCGATGAACTACTCACAACTATATTGTAGCGTTCCAGCTTTCTTGTAGGGAAGACAACAGTATCAACGCTCGTACTTCTTCATCAAACTTTATATCAACTAAACTCAATTGGGTTATGACTGTATTGAGTTCATTAAGATGATGTGCTACCGATGCACCTTCTGTCATTCGCAGATTGAATAACCGCCTCATCAAATAAACTTTATTTGAGGCTGATGGCTTCTCATACATATTTGAGAGTGTTGCCATAAGACTCGTCGTGGTTTTTTCCTTTGCACTGTTAAAAGTAACATTGCGGGTTAACATCAAACGAATAACCCTGAGGGCCTTTCTGTCTAGAAGATTCCAATCTTCTTCCTTCGTACCTGTCGGCTTCTTCCCTGAGAAAGGTTGATATAGATTTTTCTGATACAGATAATCCTCTATCTGTATTTTTTATAATCCAAAATTTGATCCATCAAACTTCTCTAATCTCACATTTCCTTCATCTGCGGCCATCGCTCCCATTTGAATCAGACTTCTTCTAAATCATTTCAGGCTCTGATACCAGTTATTAGGAATACCTAGGGCTACGCTAAACCCTTAAAACAATGAGAAACACAGTATAGAGAAAAGTACACTAAGATTTACGAGGTTCGGCAAACTTGCCTACGTCTTCGGGAGCCACACAATTAATTTCTTATTAATCAACAAGAAATTACAATACAAGAGTAGATCTCAAACTTGAGATCTCTCAAAATACAAGTTAACAATGTAGCTGCAGTGTTGACTCCCCCTCTTTAATAAATTCCCCTCAATAAATTCCCCTCTTCTTTAATACTCTTCCTCAAAATCTTGTGAGCTGAAGGAGAAAGAAGAGAGATCACGAGAGAGCTATCGCCAAAGGGAAAATCGCGAGAGAGAGAAGAAGCCGCACAGAGGAGAGGAGCTTTGGGTTCCCTTTTATAAGGGAACCCTAATCGATAGGCTGACGATAGGCTGGAGACAGCCATGTACGGAGTCGTGCTCCGACCCCGCCTACTCCGACCCCGCCTGCGATGGCCCTGAGATCGCCTGAATCAATTCTCGAGCTCGCATGCAACAAGTCGACATCACCTCGACGTTGCCTGTGATGCGTCACCTCATCATCGAGATCACCTGCAAGGGGTCGCTTCGAGCTCGTCGTCGACCTCGCCGGATTTGCGTCGACGTCGCCTGAGCTCGCCTCGACTTCGAGCTCGTCGCCTAAAGGGTTGATCTACACCCAAACCAACACTCTCAAAACCCTCCCAAGCTTTAAGCTTTTTTCACTGGAATCCCTATCCATAATTGGTAAATTACAAAAAATATTCTAAGGAAAAAAGACTCTACGTTAGGAGGATATGTAATGTACTTTCTATCAATGGAAAATGACTAAATTGGTCAGAGGGTTCCTCTCCAAACCATCTTTAGATATTTTCCAATCACAAGCAGGGGTTTCCAATAAGAAAAGTTTAAAGTTCAAGGAGGTTTGGTGAGACACCAAAAAACTTAGGGAGTTCAGTCAAATAAAAATAGTTTGATGGGGCTATAACAACAACACCAAATTTCAGGGGGTCTTCTCGAATTAAAAAGGCTGAGGGGTGTTATATGCAGCACACCCCAAAGTTTAGGGGTTCTTTTTGTAATTAATCCTCTTTGAAAAGCAGAATCTTGGGGAGAAATATTAGAAAATCCCAAATCAATTTGGAGAAAATATAAGACATTCAAATTTAATAGAAAGAACCTTAATTTATTTTAATGACAGCTATTTTTTCATTCTCTCCTCTGCTAATTAGTCCTAGATTCTACCCTAAAACTAATAAAATCAATGATTTACTGTTAATGGAAGAAAGAGTAGTATTCTAATTAAGAACATCACATTTTATTTTAATAGAAAAAAGAAAGGGAAAAACATAAACATTGTTTAATGTCATATTATCAGAATCACTCCTACAGAAATAGATTAATTTACACCATAAATAGAAGACTGAAATTTCCAAACTAACCCTAACCACACTCGAGAATGGTATAGGTTGTACATTTTTATGAGCATGTTCTGATATAGAATCTGCATTTTGTTTGATGCATACTGCTCACTTTCAAATGTACTTTTGCATAATAATTGCGCTACGCATGACAACCACGGCTACAAGGTGTGCAGAGACAAGAGCCTCCTAATAACAACTACGCAAGGCATCCACAACCACCCCGCCCTCGGCCCGCCGCGCATGGCCGCACACCCGCGCGGACCTCATGCTCCTCCCGCCCTCAGCAAAGACTCCTCCACTCCCCTCCTCCTCCTCCGTCCTATTCCCCTCCGGTATCTCCACGCGTTCGCCGCCGCCTCCTCCTCCGTGCACCCTCTCCGCCCCCTCCGCCGTTCCCCACCATTCACCCCGACCTCACTCAGACCCCGAAATCCCAGCCCGTTCCTCAGCCCGGGCGCGGGGACACCCACGCGCCCATTTGCCGTTGATGAGGGGACCCGCAGCCAGCGTCAGGGGGACGGTCGGGATGCGAGACAGGTGAGCTCGGCGATCACTTGGATCCCAGCGCTTTACCGTGGCGTTGGCTTGCGAGCCAAATATCGTCTTATCTATGCGCGAGGCGCGGTACGCAAACAGTGGCGGCGTAATGCTGACTGCTGGCCTGCGTCTCCGCTGTTTCCGCAGTCTTGCACCACTTTTTCTACTAATTAAATACACTGACAGAGATATACGATTAATATGGTATAGTATTGTAATTAAGAACATATGTTGCGTTGATAGTATATGAATATTAAGTTTTTTTCCCCTTCTTGTAAATAACAATATATATAGAGGATGATGAATAAGAAGAGGTAGAGAGTTATATCGTGGTCTCTCTATTGAGGCAAGCAACAACACGAGAGGTTTGTGTACCTTATAATTTGATTGTGCGTGTTAGAG